TAGGGACGCAGGCGGAGGAGCAGTGTTATACCAGCCCTGGGCACACCAGGGGCATTGGGATGCAGGCAGAGAAGCAGTGTTATACCAGCGGTGTGCGCACCAGGGGTGTAGGGACGCAGCGAAGATGGCACCTTAACATATGTGTTTGCAATCACTGTGTTCCTTCGTGCACTCTGGAATTACTGTGCATTCCAGGGATGCTAGCGCTCCTCCTGCAGTGCCCTGGCCACTTGCCAGCCTCTGCCAAGGATCACTGTGTTGATGTCTATCTGTACTGGACATCCCAGCCATGGGATCTTTGTCGGCTCATGCAAGTATCTGAGCCCTGGCTGCTATGTTCCAGAGTCACTGCGCCTGGGAGCCAGGTTGCCCCTCTGGCCCACACAGTTTGTCAGTACTCAGGGTCTTGCAGGTTTGTTTCCGTTAGGAGGAGAAATGGATACTTTGAGTCGGGGATATTCTAGGTATAATCCTGTTCAGCTGCAAAGTATGCAAGCAGAGTCCTGTTCCACTGAGCACAGCAGGAACAAAGAGCAGCAGGCAGTGTTCTTGCTCAGAAATTCCCCAGGCCTGCCCTCCAGGGGGGTGCTCTGTGCCCAAAGAGCTGTGTCTCTGCTTCTACCAGGGTCACGCTCTTGACTGCTTGTCTTGCTGTCTGTGGCTTTTCCTTCTCTTATACACAGCTTGCCATGCCATCCCCTAGCCCATGTGTTTGCAGCCAGCCCTGGGTTGCCCTCAGACAACACATTTTAACTCTGCCATGTGGCTGAGTGCCTTGGGCAGTGGCTTCTATTGTATTTGTCTCTCTCCATAAAGGGGCTTAATTGCTCCCTCCCGTTAGACTGTGTGCACTAGAGGGGAGGGGTTTGGCTAAGCAGAGACTCATGGAGTGGTCCCCAAAGGGAAACTCCTTCCAGTGGAGGTGTGTGTGAGCTCTTGCCTCTCTACCCTCAGTTCCTGCAGTGTCTGTCCGAGCTTCAGCAGCAAATCCATCGAAAGCTCAAGGATCTGGGCCGTGGGCAGGACTCAGACGGTGCCTGGAGTGACATCTCCCTATCAGACATTGAGTCCAGGTACGGCCGCCCTGTCACCCTCCAAGGAGAACCCTCCTGAGCTCTGCGGTCCCAGGGACACCTGGTCCATGGCTGGCCAGATCCATCTCCGGAGCAGCCTCGGAGGGAGGAGGGTGGGCTGTGCCTGACTGGGTGAAGGCTGGCTGGCCCAATGAAACCCTCTCAGCATCTGCCCCCCCCCCCCGCCTCTCTGAGCCCAGAGATCCCAGAGCTGTGGGGCTGTGCTCCTGGCCTGCCTCGGGGAACCCCCAAGCGACAGCTGCCCCCAGCTCATTCTGTCCCTAAAGCCCCCGGGCCTTGGCTGCGCCCAGCACTCGACCTGCCAGGCAGCGTGAATTCAGCAGGAATCTCCTGGCTCACGGCAGGCAGGAGATTTCTGCTAGCAGGGGGCTCTGAATGCCGCAGACACCGGCAAAGCGAGATCCAGCGGCTGGGAGCTGAAGTGACAAGTCCAGAGGAGAGAGATGGGCCCCTGTTCACCAGGGAGGGGACTGACCATCGGAACAGCTGGCCTGGGCCGGGGCGAGTCTCCGCCACTTGGCGTCCGTAAATCCAGACTGGATTGGGGTGGCTGGGGGCTCAGCTCGGGGCTCTGGGCTGGCTGCAGGGCTGGCTGGAGGGTGGGGGCTGTCTCTTTTGCGGGGTGGTCCGAATGGGCCCTTGTGACCTTGGCAGCCAGGAATCTATGCAAACAGCTAAGGGTCTCTCTCTGCCTGGCGCAGCACCAGCGGCTCCAACAGCTCCCAGTCCGACGGCCTCCCTGCTCATTTACTCAGTGTGGCAGAGAAGGTGAGAGCCACGTGGCTGAGGGACGGATGTAACTATGGGCAGCGCCCAGGGGGCAATGTGCATGTCTGACCCCGGGCCCGGGGCTCGTAGACCCCTGGCTGACGCCCCATGCCCAGGCCCCGGAAGTGAGGGTGGCCATTCTCCTGCTAGCTTCCGGCTCCTCAGCTGCCCACCTGCCATTCCAGGAGGGGGCTGCTTAGGGGCGGTGTGACGGCTGGAGGCAGATGGGGTGACGCTCTCTCATGGGAGGGGGCCAGGAGCACGTGGGGTGTGAATGACGCTGGAAATGGCGGGGCAGCGTAGTCTGGCTGGGCTCCCTGATTCACCGGCGACCCGGGCTGCCCAATTCACCCTTCACCCTCCACAGCGAGAGCTTTGGGAGTTAGGAAACCGGCTGCAGCGCCCAGGGCTGAGCTGGTCCTAGCTGGTGCCTCACTGGGAGAGCACGGGGAGGGCTGGGGCTGGGTCCGTCAGGGCTGGGGTCTGCTGCTGTTGGCGAATGCTGGAGGGGTGTGTGTTGCTGAAGCACCGGCGGCGAGCTGGGCGCCAGAGGGCCAGGCCTCCTGCAGACGTGGGTAGCGGGATGGGCCGGATGGGGGCCAGCTTTGCAGGTGACGTGTTACCGTGCCTTGGCCTCGGCGTGGGTTTCTCTGGCTCGAATGAGGGCGGTGGGGAACGGTGTGTTTCCTGGGGAGCAGGGCCGTCCCCTGGCGGAGCTGTGCTGAGCGCGGGCTCCTTACTCCCCTCACCAGTTCCATCAGAAGAAGAAGCGGCTGCGGACGAGGAAGGAGAGGAACGAGCTGCGTCAGAAATACGCCTCGAGCCAGGGGCTGACGTGCCAAGACAAGACCCCGGTAAGGAACACGCCAGATGGGGCGCACCACGGAGCTGCCTCCTCCCTGGGACAGCGAGGCAGGGGCCTGCAAATGGACGAGTCCTCCATGGCAGCGGCTGGCACGACGGGCCGGCCATGGCTGGCTCTCCGGCTGGTGGAAGGGTGTTGTGGGAGCATTTCTGCATGTGCCCCTGTTCAGCCTCCTGCCCTGCGGGGAGGGAGGAACAGCCTGCAGGGAGACAGAGGCCTTGTCCACATACACACATCGCAGAGCGACTCATGCCCTGGCCACGGTGGTGGGCTCCATGCCCTGGGACCCTCCCAGTGCGTGTGGTTCCTCCCTTGGCGAAGCGCCCTGGCTCATGCTCGCTCTGCCAGCGGCTGGCAGAGGGGCCGTGGGAGGAGAGGGTTGCTTTGCTTGCTTTCGGAAATGCCCCTCTGGGTCTCCTTGCAGGTGGCGGGGGAGAGAAGGTTGGGGAGCCCCACCTGCCGGACCCACCAGCCTGTCAGCGCGGCGGCTCTGTGCACGGAGGACAGCTCTGGCAAACAGGTGCAGTGCAGTTCTCCTCTCCCCCCACTCACAGCCACAGCTCCACTGCTAACAGCACCATCTGCTTGGCCCCACTGCATAGCCAGGGCCAGAGGGTGCCACTGGCGCTGGGCTCCCGGGGACTCCAATGGGGTCTGCTCCTGCGACACCAAGGAAGGGGGCTGGAGAGCATCTGTCTCCCTGACCCCTGGCAGAGGCTGGAGTCTGAAAGGGCTTCGGGTTCGAGACATTGTAACACTCAGAGCAGGGCTCACCCCAGCAGCGGGGGCAGCAGGTACGGACACACACAAGTGGGGCTCTTCCCTGGCAGCAGGGACAGGGACGACACACACACACACACACACACACACACAGAACAGAGCTCACTCCCTCCAGCAGGGGGCAGCAGAAGGCTCATCCATGCCAGCAGGGGGAAGCAGACATACACACACAAACACTGAAAAAACACTAACACTCTCTTAATTAGTCTCCGCTGCCCACCACCCTATACACCCAGATCTGGTGCAGGGTGGTTCAATTTTTGCTCCTTCTTCTTTTAACGTCCCTTCGCCAACTGCCTCTGCCCTGCCTGGCTGAGAGCCGGGCATCCACTGCCATAACCCCGACTCCCCCATGCAAACCGCTTGTTTCTCTCAATCCCGTTAGGTCTGCTCTGGGGCCCAAGCTGTCCCGGATCCCATGTTCGTACAGCTCCCAGCACGGTGAGGGCTGAGGCCTCCAGCCGCGGCTGAGGTAGCAAGGTTTGACCCCAGTGCCAGAGGCCATGGTGAAGGAGGAGGGCGCGGAGGAAGAGCAGCTCCTTCCCAGCTCCCGTCACCGCTGGGTCCCCCCACCGCAGGGCGGAGGGAGGAGTATGTGCCCCTCCCCAGTACGACAGATCTCCTGTGCGTAGCTACAGGGCTGGAGCAGACCTGCGGCACTGCAGATCAGGTCGCTACTGAAGGAGAATCACTACTATAGAATCGGTGTGTTCCAGCTCATACCGCACAGAAAAGTGCACGGGGATCGGGCGGGAGGCCCAGGGCAAGGGCCAGCTTACCCGCTAGATACTCCTGGCAGATGTGGATTTTACACTGGCCAGAAAGCAGCTGTCAGAGCATCCCGTTCTTGCTAGAAAATGGGGCTGGACTTTCAGAAGAGCTGCACACTCTGGTGTGTGCCGTCCCTGAGCTCTCTGGAAACCTGGCCGTCTGTG